TCGGGATGCATGTGAAAGATACAAAGAATAAACCAAAAGAAAATATATATATATCTGGCCAGCAAGACGGCTCAGTGGGTAAAAGCACTCGCTCCACAAGTCTGACAACTGAGTTCCATCCCGGGAACCCTCAGTGGAAGGAGACAAACAGCTTCCAAAACTTGTCTTCTGACCTCCCCCTGGGCACGTGTGCACCCCCGCAACACACATCATACACACACATACAATAATAGTAAATTATTCCTAAAAAAAATAAAGAATATTCCTGGAAACCCATACAGTAATGAAAGAAAAAAGGTTTCTTTTTCCAATTAATGAATTCAGAATTAACATTTGAAAAGTATATAGACCCAAACCATTCTACAAGTTAACACCATAGGGCAATGGTTCTCAACCTTCCTAATGCTGTGACCCTTCAATATAGTTCCTCATGTTGTAGTTACCCCCTAACCATAAAATTATTTTCATTGCTACTTCATAACTGTAATTTTGCTACTATTATGGATCATAATGTAAATATCTGATATACAGGATATCTGATATGAACTCCTGAGAGGGTCATGACCCACAGGTTGAGAACCTCTGCCTTAAGGCATCAGACACAAGCTATTTTACAGGTAAATTCAAAATTAAGCTTTCATTTAGTAACATTGTGGTTAGGTCTGAGATCATATCTTTGTATAACCAGATTTCCTAAAGTCTGGAACTAGCCAGTGAACTGATGAATCCATGTGTTTTAGCTATTTGGGAGATGTGTGTTTGGATGGCTCTCAGTGGGAATTTCAGAGAAAGCAACTGTGTGACTTATTTCAAAGCTGTGGGGGAGCTTCTGTTGGGGTTGAGAACAGGGTCAGGGTCTTGTGACTGGCAGAAGACGAAGAAAAGACTATGTGCAGAGCACAGTGACATCCAGCACAAGGGGACTTCCTGTAGCAGCAAGGGATGGTCAGCTTTCATTGCCCCTGGACACAATCTAGAGTTCCCTGAGAAGGGGCTCCCAATGAGGGCTGTGCAGTTGGCTCTGGGGGGATGTCTAGGGGGAGGGATTGTCTTAAGTGGATTAACTGAGGTGGAAGACCCACCCTGAAGGTGGAAGGCACAAGATCCTGGGCTGGGTTTTGGACTGAGTGGAGAAGGGAGAGGGAGCCGAGCACTGAAAAAACTTATGTATATTTATCCTCTCTCTGCCCTCAGCTGAGGATGTGACCAGCCGCTCTCACTCCTCACAACAGTGGGCTGCAACCTGAAGTGGGGAGCTAAAATAAGCCTTCCTCCCCAAGTTGCTTTTGTCAGGGTATCATATCGCAGAGACAATCAAACTAACGCATGGTATGCCGCTGAAATGTTCCCACAGGCTAGTTGTTTGATGGTTGCTTCCCCAGTGGACGGTGCTGTTCTAGAAGGTTCTGGAAAATTTGGAAGCAGATCTCGCTGGAGGAAGAAAGTCAGTGGGGTTGCATGCTTGGGGGTATATTATCCCCAGCCATTTTCACTCTTGTGCTTCTGTTTGCCGGCCTGTGATGCCGACTGCTTTGCTCCAACACGCCTTCCCTGCCATGACAGACGGAACCCTCAGAAACCCCTAGCCAAGACAACTCCATCTCCCTTGTATGTTGTTCCACCCGGTGTTTTACACGGTGATGCCTGTGTGGCTAATGCCGGGCTGAGGACGGGGCTCCGCTGGGAGAGTGCTTGCCCAGCACACACAGAGCCCTGGATTTGACCCCCAGCACTACAGGAAACTGGGCATGGCGGTGTGTGCCTGTCGTCACGGCACTTAGGATGTGGAGGCAGTTGGATCGGAAGGGTTAGAGGCTGGGCCACATGAGACCATGTCTAACAACAACAACAACAACAACAACAATCAAAATGATTAGTGTGTGCACCCCCTGATATGCACCTGGGTCTCTGGACACGGTGCAATGACCTGTCCCTGTGGCCTGCAGTCAGAAGCAGCCAGAGTGCCACACTGCAGCAACTGGGCTTGTGCCTAAGTCCTGCTCCTCTGCGGGTTGGTGCCATTTTTAAAAGGCTCTTTTGATGCTGTTTCTTTGTAAGTTTTCCTTTCATTTTTACAGCGCGTTTAGAGTTCTGGAGAGGTTCGAGGACATGTTGTTTCTCTCCTTGGTGCCAGGATGGGCTATTAGTGTGTGGAGAGGGAGGCAGGATGGGGAGGGCAGACAGGAGCTTCAGATGACAAACGCCCAGCTGCCATCCTGCTTCCACTCCCGAAGATCAGTCCCTCACCACAGGCCACTAGTAAGATCGCTCTCCAAAGCTGAAGTGGTAGGATTCTGCCACCAACCACCAGCTCTCTGACGGACCCTGGGTGGGCATCCTTCATTTCAGGTCAGGGGGGCACTGCCTCCTTGGGGCCAGAATCAGATGGCACAGGCCACCATCTTGGGCCTACAAGACTGTTCTCTGCTTTGGATGCCTATCACATGCCTTGAGCTGTCATCTGTGTTTCTGAACAAACAGCTGTAAGTCAGGAGTCCCACGCCCTGCCCCCTTGGGCTCCGTCAATTTGTCGAGACAGATCGCAGAACTTGGGAGCACACTCACACATATAGAACCACTACAAAGGTAAAGAAGAATGGCCTGACGGGACCTATGGCAGAGCAAGACAAGTGCAAAGGGGCTAAGAGCCTTGTGCCCCAGCTGGGCTCTCCACCCTCCTCAACTCCCCAGTGTCCAGCCTGTGGCAACCCCCTGACCTAGGCCTTGGGCTTTTTATAGAGCTCTTAGAAGGCAGCCATGGCTGCTGAGTCACAGGCCGTAGGTAGTCAGTGTGATTTTTGGCCCCTCAGTCCTCCTTGGGCCCATAGATGGGATGTTGAGGCTTGGTGATCAGCCCTATCCCTTGTTTACACTCTGAACACCCCCTCACCCCTCTGGAGACTTGTTGAGGTTCAGAAGCTGTAGTCCAGGGGCCAGGTTCTGAGTCTATCACAGCACCACACCCCCATTTCGTGGATGGGGGCAGTGAGGACTGAGGAGGTCAGTGTTCACCCTCCTGAGCCACCCACACCCCAGGGGTGCTGCTGTCCTCAGAGTTCCTCCTCAGGGTCCTGCTGGCTCACATCTATAGCGCTATTTTTTAGCTGGGTGAGGGTGGGGTTCCGGGCTGGACAATTTGTCCTGGGCAGCAAGCCAGCTTACAGCCCCTGGGAACAGCGCAGCCCTGTTACTTGAGGGCAGACTGTGCTGTGACCCTGGCCAGCTGTCCCGTCTACATCTGGAGTGAGTGGCTAGTGGGCACAGAGTGTGCATTGCCTACTTAGGAGTGGAATGGCGCTCTCCGGTAGAGGCTCCGTGCCATCCCAGATGCCACACTGATCGGACAGGTCTAGATCAGAGCTTCCTCCTCTCCATCCCTCTCCCAGCTGTTCAGCCTTGGACAAGTCCCCATCTCCAGGCATCCCTCTACTTGTCTGGGAAATGGAAGTGTCTCAGAGGATGGCTGTGGCACCATCAGGGCTGAGGAAACAGCCAGATGGAGAGCACCATGCAATGCTTCTTCTACTCTCTCTGGGCTCAGTCCTGCCTCTGCCCCTACCTCTGCCCAGCTCACTCTAAAAGCTTTCCGCCTTCACAAGACTGACACCTACAGAAAGGGAAGGCCTGGTGCTGAGCTCAGGGATCCAGACATCAATTTCCTGACCCAGCAGACTTGTCAACCCATTTCATAGATGGGGGAAACTGAGGGTAACCATCTGCTCAGAGCACCAGGTTAGTGAGCCTGGGTTCAAAGCCAGGGCCTTGTGTTTCCAAGGTGGAAAGGATTTCCATCCACCCAGAGCACCCATTCTATAGATGAGGGAGTCTGAGCATCAGAGACAAGGAGCCACCTGCTGGGGTTCACCCCAACATCTCGGGCTGTGTTCCTTCACCTGTGCCCAGCCTCCCATTCCCTCAGGTCGGGGGGAGGGGTCCTGAGATAACTAGATAATTGGTCACATCACTGATCTACTTAGGGGTCCCTGTAAACTCTACTTTCCTTCCCCCACAGCGGGTTACAAACTTTTGCCTTACGTCCCGGGACACCACAGCTCCGCTCTCGCAGAGCAGTCTCTGGGGGCATGGCTTTGCTATTCGAAGCTGGAGTCACCCGGCTCCCATGCATGGCAGCTCCTCGACTTGTTCCCACCTTGCCAATAAATTAGGTCCCTGTGGCCTTCAAGAGACAACTGGGGAGTCATAAAACATGGAAAGCCTTGCGATTGGGAGTGACAGTGTTTGGGAGTCAGTAGGGGACTTTGCCAGGGCTCTGGAGAGATTTCTTCCTGGATATTCCTCATAACAAAAACAGGGGCTGGCGGGGCCGGTGCCAGAGCCTGAGTCTTGATGCCATTTAGTGAGCAGTTACTATGTTCCAGCACCTATCTGAGGAATTCCCACAGCCCAACTTAGGGAACGTTTACAAGCCTCTGAGGTCTTGTGGTTTTCACTCTCTAGGTAAGGAAACCAAGAGACAGAGAGGTACTTCATTTGGCCAAGGACACACAGATTGTGACTGATGCAGCCTGGCCAGTCAACTCCAGGTCCTCATCATTAACTGTCCTCTAAATCTGCTCATGTTCTACCAGAGGCCCTGGTGTAAGTGCCACCCAGAGAACCACATCAGCCCACCCATGGCCCCCAGGCACATGCCAGTGGCCAGGGACAGCGGAAATACAAAGGACACAAATCCACGATCACTGAGACCCAGCAATCCACCCCAGCTTGCCCGCAGGTGGCCAAGACCTCAGTGTCACATGCAAGGTCCACCTCAGTCGTTTGCTGGACAAGACATCCCAAGCCTCTGGAAGTCTTGAGTTCCTCCTTAGGAAAAGGATGGGAGGTTAAAACCAATTCCACGGGGCTGTTGGGATGCTCGTCAATGAGCCTTGCAGAGGTTTTTTTTTCTTTTTTCTTTTTTTTTTTTAGGATCTCAGCACTAAGCTGGATGGGACTGAAACACCAGCTGATTCCTCGTTTTTTTTCTTTGAGTTTTTGCATGCATGTGGACGTGCATTTGGGAGCCATCGCTGGTACAGGTGGAGGCCAGACAAGACAACAGCGGCTTTTCTCTCCACCTTGCTTTTTGGTACAGAATCTCTCACTGAACCTGGAGCTCATGGATTCAGCTAGGCTGGCTGGGTGAGCCTCAGGGATCTGCCTGCCTGTCTCAACCCCCTTGCTCCAGGGTATAGACACACACAGCCACACCAAGCTTTTTCATGCTTGGGGAATCCTCACTCAGGTCCCCACATTCAGGTCCCCACGCTCAGGTCCCCATGCTCAGGTCCCCACGCTCAGGTCCCCATGCTCGCTCAGTAAGCACTCCACACATCTTCCCAGCCCTTCCTCGTTTTTGAATGTGGTCATTCACCCGTATTCCACATCTGCACCTTTTCTCCCTTGGAGCTGCCAGGAGCAGGTCAATAGTTGGGGTACAGTTCTTTTTGGAAACAGGAGGACATGTAAGACCTTGGGGTCCCCTCCTACCCAAAGATCCTTGGCTCACTCATCCCTTCTCCCCCCAGTCATTCCCAGCAGTGGTTGTGGGTCTCCCTGAAGTCAGCTTTCCTTCTTGCTCCCCAGGTTTCCTGCTCCTTGCCTGTGGTCTCCACTGGCTGGATGCTGTTTCTATGGCAACAACAGCTTAAGAGCCTTCGGCCCCCCTCTGAGGTGACAGGCTTGGATGGAGATGGCTGATCAAATTCCTCAAGCATCCTCAGTCAGCCTTCTGGATGCAAGGCCTGGGAGAGGAATGCAAAGTCTGAGCTGCCTGGGACCTGGAGCCCCAAGAACTTCCCAAGGGAACCACCCTAGGTTTCAAGTGTCCTCTGAAATTCACGTGTTGGAAACTTGAGAGATGGAGGTAGAAAGGTCATACGGGTGCTCACTGTCCTCCTGTGAGATGAATGTGGGAGCGGCCCTCTTTGAAGGATGTTTACCCTTCCCTCCTCTTCCACACAAGCTCCATCTACAGGCCATGCTCGCACACAAGAAGGTCCTCACCAGAGGCAGCCCCTGGACTTTGGACTCCCAGACTCTAGAACTGTGAGTCCCCTAAGCTCTCATTGTAAGTCACACAGCCTGTGGCAATCTGTGATGTCAGCAGAATGGACAATGGCCTGGAACACCTGATCAGGTGGCCCCAGTGCGGCCTCCAGTCTCCCCCAGGCCCCGGGGCCTGGTTTTAGTGTGTGCTGTGGAGGGGCTGTCATTCCCTGAGCAGGCTTCCTTACAAATCACCTTCACTGGTGGCTCTGAAGCAGGCAGGCCTCAGGCTATGCTTGGAGAAATCCTGAATCTCAGAGAAGATTCTTGAAGCTGTTTGGGGCTGAGACATCTCCCGTGGCACCTCATCCTCCCAAGCCTGGTTCAGGCTTCCCTCTCCCCTGACACAGCCTCACTGGTGGGGGTGAGCAGGTATTTCACCCTCCTCTCAGGGCCTGAAAAACTCAGGCAGGGCTGCCAGCGGGCCATCTTGGTAGTCAAGACTGATCCAGAGCCCTGTGAATCCTTGCAACATGTCGGCGCTCAGAGGTGACACTAGGGGGCGCTACGCCAGCCCTGTAAAAAGCGTGGTGCTGTAGATCTAATAGTCCTCTTCCCATTGCACCCACCCCTACCTGCTTTCAAAGATTGCACCACTCCCCTCCTCTGTTGCCCCCCATGACACTGGGCGGTTGACACTGAATGTGGGGGACATGGGGGTGAAGTAACACCCCGTGGGAACTGGAGGTGTCTATGGAACGCAAGGACAAGATCCCAAGTGGTTGGTTCCTTGAGTCTGAGCTGGGGAGCCGGGTTCCTGGGGAGAGCTCTGTCAAGCAGTTTCTTCCTCTGCCATGTTCCTGCCCTTGTCCACTAGAGTCAGCTCCTGAGGTAGGCGGTGAGGGCTGCCTCCCCTCTAGATGGGCATCTATGAGGCCCACTGCTGCCCCCTGCTGTCCCCTGGCAGACCTCGGCAGGATGGAGCTTGCCTGACAAATGTCCTTTATTTCCCTCCCCCTCCTTCCCACCCTCTTCCCAGAGGCTCCTGGGGTCACCGCCAAATGCAGAGTCTCAGGGTCTGTTACCCTGGGGCTCAAGGCAAGAGGCCCCCCTCCCACTACTTTGTTACCCATGTGAACCCCAAGTGGCAGTCTGGGTAAGACTTTGCAAAGGTGGCCCCAGCCAGCCTTGCCATAGGAGACCCTGCAGTCATGGCCCAATGTGCTTTCATTAAGTCTGGGTTCTAACTCCCACGGACACTATTCTGTGTGGGTAACAATCCATCATCTTGGGGTTTTCTGGAGCCAGAAGGTGGTCCTCCTGACATCGCTCCACGGCCATGTCTGATAGGGTGGTATGGGCTCAGCAGACCCCTCCCATTGGTCCTATCCCAGTCCCCAGAGCTAACGTGATGGTTCAGATCCAGTTAGAGGGATGCAGGAGGGCTTGTGTGGGGTGAGTCCTCCAGGGATGTCTGTGAGTCTGTGCCCTCAGAGGAAAAGCTGCCTCCAGTTGGGTGAGAGGCCTTGCTCTGTCTGGGAAGGTGATGCCAGGAAAAGAGAGAGGCGAGGAGCCGCTCCAGGGTGGGCTCGGGCAGCTTGGGGGCACCTCGGCCTTCCTCGGTGTCGACAGTCTGGCCGGTTTCCTGGGGTGGTAGGCCTGCCCACAGGTTTCTGCTCTGTTCCCCTTGGGAGACATGGGGAGACCAGTGGGATCTTGACGCATCTGCAGCCAGACAGTCCTGTAGGGACCTGTCCCATTTGGAGGCCACCTCTCTAGGCAGACCCTGGCCCTTAGCTGCTGTCCCGCTTCGATCTGTGTGTGCTGGGTGGGCAGCAGTGGCCTCTGGGCATGGGCAGTAGGCCAGTGCCTTCCTCAGCAAGCTCTGGGTCTCCTGGTGTCGCTCCTGGGTCTCTTCCCACAGCTCCTGGCCCAGGCCAGCCCAGCTCAGGGAGGTCACCTGGAGCTTCATGGCCAGGAGCTTCTCCATCTGGAACTCAGACGCCAGGCGCTTCAGGTAACAGTGGAGGCGGAGGTGGAGCCGGTCCCCAGGGCTGGCCCTCGAAGTCTTCTTGCCCAGCCTGAGCTGGGTCAGCAGGTCCTGACAGTCCGTGTGGAACCGGCACACCTAAGGACAGAAAGGAGAAGGGAGGTGGGGGCTCCGTGAAGACAAGATGAGCCTGTGAGCAGGAGAATTTGAGACAATGTGGCTGACTGAACTGTTAGGTGCACAGCCTGGAGACTGTGATGACCATTGTTCCCTTTCTTCTCGGATGCATACCCCTGCCACCTGCAAAGAGCCTCTAGCACCCTTGGGCTCTTCGGGCCCCTTCTAGCAGACCCACAGGCCAGCGGGGCAGATGTAAAGCAGGAGCTGTAGAAACGACCAGGAAAGCCCCCTTCAGAACCGAGAATCCGGATGGGGAGAGGGAGGGCTCAGTGGGGGAAGTGCTTGGGGCACAAGCATGAGGACCTGGGTTCAGATCCCCAGAACTCCCGTGAAGCTTCACAGGGGAGCTTGCAACTGTAATCCCCGTGCTCCTGGTGTGGAATGAGAGGCTGAAATAAGACAATCTCCACAAGCTCTAGGGCTAGCTAGCACGGCATGCTCAGTGACAAATGACAAGAGACCGTTTCAAAAAAGGTGGAAGTGAGAACTGACACCTGAGGTTGCCCTTTGACCTCCACAGGCACACGCGTGCGCGTGGTACACATACACGCAAACTGAGTGTAGCTAGGCCTGTTGGTGTAAGCCTGTTCATTCTGGCCACTCCAAAGGTCAAGGCTGGAGAATGATACATTCAAAGCCTTCCTGGGCTACAGAGTGAGTTCAAATCTAGCCTGGGCAATTTAAGGAGACCCTGTTTCAAATAAAAAGTAAAAAGGCTAGGGATGTGACTCGGTGGTAGAGTGGTTGCCTACCAGGCTTGAGGCCTTAGTTTAATTCTCAGCCCGGGGTGGGGTGATGGGGTCGGGGGAGTTGAGACACTGAGGAAGGAGCGTTGCTAATACATTCCAGAGTGTCATCTGTTTATTTGGTTCCATGAGTGTCCCAGGTCACTACTGTGAGCTAGATTAGTAGCCCATTTCACAGAGGGAGAAACTGAGGCACAGAGCAATGAACTCACTTATTCCAAGTCACACAGTGCAGTAAGGGGGGAGCTGGGATCCCATCGTGGATCCAGCCTGCCTCCTTGCACCCAAAGGAAAGCTGGCTCAGACAGGGGAGGGCAATCAGTCCAGCAGGCCCCACAGCTCATACACCAGCTGGGCCTCTGCCCATCATGTGACTCTGCCTGTTCCCGACACCCCCCCCCCCCGCTCCGCTGCCCCCACTGTACGATACAGCAGCTGATGCAAAGGATAATCTCTCTCTCCATTAATTTAGGGCCAAGAGCAAGCCATTGGCCAGGGGACAGCAGAACCATTTGCTGCAAGGAGGCGTTTTTTCTGTGCATTAAGGGAGCTCGTCTTTAGATAAATGGCTTCATATTCACAGTAGCACTCAGAACTCATGGCGCCATAAATCTCCCTTAGCAGCCAATCGAGTTAGGATTATTTAGGGCAGAAGGCACAGCACTCGGGCGCCCCACCTGGGTAGAGCCCTGTCTGAGTCCCCATCTTCCCAGCCAAGCCTGGCAGTCATGCCCAGTGACTCAGACACCACCTCCAACTCCTCCTCACATAGAGGAATGGTCAGGGCAGCAGCGTCCAGCCTTGACCCGACTTTGCCAGAGGTGGACAGGGGGACGGATGGTCCAGCCTGCCCCCTCCCATGCTGCTCTTCCTGCTGAGGAGGAGGGCTGCCTTCTCCCAGGCCCAGCCTGCTCTCTTCTCTTTACCAGTCTCAGGCTAGGACACCAAGAGTGCCCTGCCACTTCAGGGAGCTCAACCCAGAGGTGTAGTGGTCAGGACAAGCCTCGGCTTTTCTGGCCAAGGAACGGCTTTCCAGGCAGTGGGAAAAGCCGGTGCAAAGGCTTCAGTGCTAGGAGTTGGGTTGATTCTGGGAAGGCAGCAGGGAGGAAGCGGGCAGCAGTCATTGGGCGAAGAGAAGCTTCCAGATGGCCTTGACGCTAGGCACATTGCTCTGAGGGGTTCCTCAAATTTAATCTGCTTTTCTCCCTTCAACATTTTTATTTTATTTTCCATGTGTGAGGGTTTTGCCCTCATGAATGTTCGTGCACCACATTTATGCCTGATGCCCCGGGAAGCCAGAAGTGCGTGTTGGATTCCCTGGAACAGGAGTTACGGCCTATGGTGAGCCATCGTGTGGGTGCTAGGAATCCAACCTGGGTCCTCTGGAAGAGCAGCTAGTGCTCATGACCTCTGAGCCATCTTTGCAGCCTGAATCTGCTTCTCCTACCACCTGGCTGGAAGTACATTCAAGCCAAAGATCTGGGTTTGAATTGCAGTGCCACCATCAGCCAGCTCTGTGACTTTGGGTGAGTCACTCAACCTCTCTGTTTTCAGCATAGGGTTGGTGTAACAGGGAAATGATCAGAACGGAGCCTGGCACTAGAGACCCCGTACTAGCACTAGCCAATCACATTATGAACAGGGGCTGAGGTTCGGAGAAGTGAGGACAGCTGTCGAGGTCACACAGCCCACATGGGCCGAATCCCGGACGCTGCCCTCCTGTGCTCTCCAGGGTGAGGAAGGGGCAGAGTGCCCCTTCACTGCCACTGCTGACAACTGCCTGCCTTGTCCCTGACCCAAGGAGACAGAGAAGCCCTGTCCTCCGGGTCCCCAGGCATTTTGAGCTGTCTGGGTCCCTCCCACTGCCCTCTGAAGCATCCCATGTTCCCAGCTGTCCCTTCATGCCCCGAGCCACCCAACAGCTGGTGGGTGGGGTCAAGCCCCTCCCATGCTCTGTCCCTTTTGGCAAGTTCAAGGGGCAGCTGAGGGCATAGGGTGGTCAGTCATGTGACTTCCTGTCCAGCTGGAACCCAGCTCTTTTTTTAGAACCTAGCCCTCTTTTTTGTCCATAGGCCTCAGTTTTTCCACTAGAAAATGGGGAGTGGGTGGGTTATGTGCATTTAGGAGTGAAACTTTGAAGTCAAATCCTACTCAATGATTGCCTAATCCTACCTGAGTAGCTTACTTCTTCTGGGCCCCAGTTTTCTCCTCTGTAAAATGGGCACAATGCAGGTGGCCCGGACTCACCCAGAAGCAGGCAAGTATGAAGTGCTCATTCACAGGGTCTGTGCTCAGGCAGGCTTCCCTTCTAGCTTAACCACCTCCACCTCATCTTCACCCTGCCTACTCGGATAAGGGATCCAGCTGCCACTCTGCCTCTCTTTGCAGAAGGACCCAGGCACATCCTCAGGCCAGGACACACTTGCCTCCACTCCAGCTTCCTCTCCCTGATTGCCACACGAGGCCCCTAGTGCTGTGTCCAGGCCACGGGAGGATGTGGGTTTGTTCTGATGGGCCATGAGGTTCACTCACCTTCTTTCTGAAGCGGTGGAGGTGGAGCAGGGTCTCCAGGTCAGTGCGCTGCCTCTCGGCCGCCATGTAGAAATGCGTCAGCCTGGCTTGGAAGGCCTGCTGGGTGGAGGCGAAGGCTGCCAGGTCTGGGAGCCCTGTCTCCCCTGCCCCTTCTTCAGCTCCCAACTGCGCAGCCTGCTTGGACAGTTCCAGGCCCTGGCGATACTGGGCCTGAGTGGGAAAAGGACATCCACTCAGCTCCCGCCTGAGGATCCACCCAGCAGTCAGGAGCCACTGTGGCCTTCTGAGCCTCAGTTTCCCCATCTACAAAACTCAGCCCACAGTCAAAGGTTGATGCATCCAACAGCCCAGGCCTTTGCCTTCACATTCTTCTGGAAGGTTCTGTGATTTTAAGCCTGGGTCAGAGGTTTGGATCCCCCACAGTCCTCTCTGCTGTGTCCAGACCAGTCCTATCCTCTACTGCCTGGGAGTCCCTTTAGGGCAGTGACAGGCCAAAGCATCCTGTGTCCATCACAAATGCAGCATCCCTGACTGTCTCTTCAAGCTGACCCAGGAGGTCAAGATCTGGGCCCTGGGTACCTGCATTTTAAGAAACCCTTGCAGGTTCTGACTCCTTTGGACTTGGTCTTGGAAGACTTCCTGGAGGAGGCAGAACCTAAGGTGATGCCTCTGTGGTCCAGGATGTCCCCTTGCTCTGTGGTCCAGGCTGTCCCCTCGCTGCCCCTGGAAGCTCCCTTGCACTTTCCCACCCCTGCATCTGAGATCAAAAGACCCCACCTCAATGACCTCTGGCATCTTGGGCCCTGGAACATACCGCAACCTGCAGGAAGAAATCCTCAAACTCGGCGTGGACTTTCTCCACTGTCTCTGCACATATATCCACAGGGGATAGAGCCTGCAGACACCGGCTTCCTTCCCGCTCCATCCAGTCATTGACCTGGGCGGAGGACAGTGGTTCAGTTGTGATGGGTGACCAAGGAGCCATCCTGGGCCAACTGTCTGCTTCCTTGTGTGTGTCTACATGCATGGACTTGTACAAGCATGCATATGTGTGTATGTGTGCAGGTGGGTGTATGTGAGTGCACTTGTGTGTGGGGACCAGAGGTCAACTTGGGAATTTCTCCTAAGGAGCTGCCCACTTTTTTTCTTTCTTTCTTTTTTCTTTTTCTTTCTGACTTTTTTTTTTTTGATCCAGGGTCTCTCACTGGCATTTGGGACTCACCAATCAGGCTAGGCCTGGCTGGCTAGTGAACCCCTGGGGTCCTCCCGACTATTTCCTCAGCGCTGAGATTACAAGTGTACACCACTCCACCCAGTGTTTTACGTAGGTTTTGTGGCTCAAACTCATCAGGTCCACGGTGTAAACACTGGATCTAAACTAAACCCCTCGACTTCTTGAGGGGCCAAAGCCTTCTTGTCCTCAGTCAGTTGCGGGCCTGGATGGATGGAAACCCTCCCAATGCAGGGCAGGAGAATCAAGGAGGGAAGCGTGTGGTTGCGTTCTGCAAATGTCAGAGGGCAATGGCCTCCCTCAGCTCAACCCAGAGGGGATGTGGTACTGTGAGTGCCCTGCACCAGGAGACCCTCTGTGTGTACGATCGTGGGATGAAGCCAAGGTGGCATGAGGTCACAGGGAGGCAAGGCTTAGGTCAGTCTGGCCACTGACTGTCACCTGGTCATAAAAGGTTGGTCTCTGGGGAATGAGCTCCCTGTCTCAGGGGTGTGTAACTGGGACTGGAGAAACACTGCCTGTGGCAGAGGGTCTACCAAGAACTCACTGTGCCACTGCCCGACCCTTGCTTCAGTGTATGGGTGGTAATGGATCGGCATTATGTGGCCCTGTGGTACAATGGATAATGGATAAGTACGAACAGCCGGAGAGGGACAGATGGTGGAAAGTGCCCTGAGCCTGTGGTGGTGTGAATGTAATCGGCCCCCATAATCTCACAGGGAGTGGCACTAGTAGGAAGTGTGGCTTTGTTGGAATAGGTGTGGCCTTGTTGGAGGAAGTGTGTCACTGTGGGGGTGGGCTTTGAGGTTTCCTATGCTCAGGATACCGCCCAGTGTGTTCATTTATTGTTGCCTGCAAGATGTAGGGCTCTCAGCTCCAGCACCATGTCTGCCTGTAGGCCGCCATGCTCCCCGCCATGATGGACAGAACCTCTGAAACTGTAAGCGAGCCACCCCAAGTAAATATTTTCTTTGTAAGAGTTGCTGTGGTCATGGTGTCTCTTCACAGCAATAGAAACCCTAACTAAGACACTCCCTGTGACAGTGCTAATTCTGAACTTGACAGAATGCAGGATCACCTAGGAGACTAGCCTCTGGGGCTTATCTCGATTTTATTAATTGCAGTGGGAGACCTGCCCACTGTGGGTGGTGCCATTCCCTGGCTGGGATCCTGGACTGTATATTCCTTATTGTGGATGCATCATGATCCTTCCACTTTGACCCCCCACTGTGATGGACTGTACTCCTTTTTTTTTTTTTTTTCCTTTGGTTTTTCGAGACAGGGTTTCTTATCACAGCAACAGGGAAAGAAAATACAGCATTGTTGCTCTGGGGATAATGGCAAAGACACTTTGTAAAACTCAAGGCTAGAGATGAGGACACAGAGGCTTGGGCAGTCAGGTGACCTGAGGGTCAAGAAAACGAAGTACCCAGCAGGGATGACCCAGCCCAGGGCAGACAGGGGTGTGTTGGCTTTAAGCACTGAAGCCAGGTGAAGGCGTACTAACAGCTCTAGTCTCAGACTCCAGATGTGCAACCACAGGAGGTGGTATCTGCCTGGCCTCAGTTTCCCCATCTGAGGTGGGGAATCCCAAAAGCTCCTCTGTCACTGGTAAGAGACCACACTGGAAGACAAGAATATTCACAATAGTCTAGTCCAGGCATGCACACAGTCGGCGCTCAATAAGTGCAGCCCTTGTGTTCATAATTTAATCCTTGAAGCTCTGATTGGATGGCATGTTTTCAGCCTTGACCCCAACACCAAGGGCTGCCAGCCTGATGTTTTAACTCCGGAACAAAGTGACCCTTGTAAAGCACCATGCCCCCCAGTAGCCTCCCCTTCACCTGGTGGATGGCAGCTTCCAGGTGGCCCAGTCGGACACGGAGCTCCAGCCTTCGGAGGAGGTGATTGGACGCAGTGACCAGGACGTGAAGCTGGTCATCCACAAGGTTGTACAGGGCTGCAGCTTCGGTCAGATGGCTCCTGGGAAGGAGAAGAGGGTAAGAAGACGCCCCTCCCTGTGTTCTCACCAGTCCTGGGCCTGCCCTCCTCATCTGTGGCCCCAGCTGGGCTGCCAGCCACTGACCTGCTGTGTGACCTGAAGTAGATCCCTAGCCCACTCTGGGCCTCAGCTATGAAACTGAGGAAGCAGCAGGAAATCGGCAGGGTAGGAAGCCAGCTGGGTAGATTTGAGTCTGAATCCCAGTCCCACCACCTGCTAGTGTAGGTCCTGGTGCAACATCACCACTTTGGGGGTCTCTGGTTGCCCGTTTGTAAAGTGGGAATGGTAACAGAACCCACTGCCCCGAGTGGCTGTGAGTAGACAGTGATCGAAGCAGAGGCTTCCACTCCAGACCGCTGCATGAGGCCCCAGCCGTGGAACTTTCTAGTGCTGCTTGGGGGTTCTGGGAAGCCAGGGGACCTTCCCTCCTTCATGAGAAACACTCAGTGGAGTGCCCGGAACTAGGCGCTGGCTGGCGCTCACACATTTGCACCACCCTGTCTTCCCAGCGTCCATTCTGCAGGACACAAGGGCAGGAGAGGGTGGCAACTGTAACCCATGACGGTCTTTTGTCTCTGATAGAGTCTCAGTGTCCCAAACTGGCTTCAATCTCCTATGTGACCAAGGGTGACCTTGAACCTAGGGCCCACCTGCCCTGCAAGGCATTTTTAAAGTGGCCAAAGCCCTAGAGGATCTAAAGCAGGTTTGTGAGGGAACTTTTCCCTCGGTGATGCTCGGCGAAGGGAGAAACCTGGAGCCTCCCCACAACTGCCCTGGGGAGCCTGTTTTCAGACAAAGATGATGGAAGGAAAGGCTGCCTATTCGAGGGATCCCCCGTCCCGGCTCCTACATCAGAAGAAAGCCCAAGATGCCTGAAGGAAGGGCGAGCCCAGAGGGCTGCAGGGACAGCATTGAACAGGGAAGGGCCGCGGCGAGCGTGGGCCCACAGCGCCCCCTGGTGGAGCTTCAACTCAAAGGTCTGGAGGGACCTCTGGTAGACCGGAGGGGTTGGGTGAGGCAGGTGAAGCGGGGAGCAGGGTGGGTAACAACACAGGGCAGTGTGAGGGGCGGGAGGTGGCCCGTTGTTTCGGCTCCACCTGCATGAACCTGCCCCCGGCGTCTAGGTGTGCATCTCAAGGTGATGTGTTCTGCCAGCCTTATCTACTTCCTGGCCCCCACCACATTCCAGATGTGTGACCCTAGGATACTCAGTCCACCTTTCTGAGTCTCAGGTTCCCCTACTGTAACAAAAGGAGACTCCTGGGCTCCACCTCAAAAGTGGGCATTAAATGAGTTAATATGTACAATTCTTTAGAACAATGCACACACACACACACACACACACACACACACACACACACACACACATCGAACGTTGGTTCAATGCACAAGCTGTTCTTAAGCGTGTGCATCAGCTTTGCATTTGGCTCTCAAATATACATACCTATGTCTTACTAGAGCAAATATTTCTAATTACTGACCAATTCAGTTACATGCTCAGCATCCCTTCTTTGGGCCCAGAAGCATATCAGATTGAGGAGTTTTTCCAGTTTTAGGGTATTTGAATATATATAATGAGGCATGTGGACAATGGGACTTCAGTCTAAACAAGAAGTCCATTTGCATTTCAGGTATGTCTTTACACACAGCCTGAAAATAATTCTGCACAATGGTTTCAATTGTTCTGTGGATGCAGCCAAGTTTCTCCAGGTGTAATTTCCCCAGAGTGTCTGAGTTTACAGCAGGCAGGACATCGATTTTCAGACTGAGGAGGTTTCACTTGCCAGCAGTCAGGGAAGCTGGTGCCGTCCAGTCAGGTCTGTCACCCACCTGTGGTTCCTGAGGTCCTTCCCCTAGGCTGAGCGTGGGAAAGGCAGGCCTGCAGGGTTAGCTACCTAGCTGTCTCAGCCCGGGCTCCTGTGGGCCTGACTACTATTTCCCAGTACTCAGTCTCATCTTCTTGCCAAATAAGAGTGGCGTGGGCAGCACCAAGTTCTTGCCAGGAACAAATGAGACGAGTCTTGAAAGGCTTGGACCAGAGTCTGGATTGGAAAAGGACAGTCTGTGTGTGGAGGGAGGAAACAGGAGAGCTGGTCCTCAAATGCCTGTTCCTGGCTGAAGACAGCCAGAGACAAAGGCGGGGATGGTGAGGTTATCCCCAAGACTCAGAGGGTAGGTGTGAGGCAGCTGTGTCCCTAGACCCACCCTATGCGTTCCCTTCACAGGGTAGCCCCACCTCTAAGCTCTGATGGGGAATGAAGGACGGGAAATTGTCTATACCTGACTTCAGGGTTGGTGCTCAGCCTGCTGGCCTCCTGCTGCAGCCTGGCCAGAGTAGCTCCACCTTCCCTCTGAAGAGCCAGCAGGCCCGGGTCCCTCAGCACAGCCTCCATCAGATCCTTGGACTTGCTCAGGCACCTGGTGGCCTCCTGCCAACATAGGAGGGTGTCCTGAGGTCCCAATCTCCACGCTCCCCTTAGCCTTCCAGGCTCCGCACACCAATAGAGCCTAACTTTCCCACTTGGGTATCCAAGCATCTCCAGGAATTCTGCCCTTTAATTTCCAGCATGTTTCTGAAGCTATGGCCCTCTTATCACCATGGTAACCTCACTGGTCCTGGCTCCATCCTCTCTTGGGACCACCCATCTCAGACTCTTGGTTGAGCTCTCTGATGCCCTCTGGCATCCCCTACAGCAAAAAAAGGACATCAAAGGGCATATCCTATGATGCCCTGCTTCAAACTCCCCAGGCCTTCACTGCCCAGTTCCTGGGCCAGCTCCTTCTTCTTTCCTCTGCTCCGCAAACCTCCAGCTGTATCCTGCCTCAGGGCCTTGGTACATACTCGCTCTCTGCCTGGAGCTCATTTCCCTCAAAGACATGTTCTTTCAGGCCGCAGTTAAACACCGTCTCTTCAATGACCACTCACCTTCCTCACTCTTACCACTTCTATGGCACTTGACACAATTCGTAACTATCTCCCCACCCCCCTTTTTTTCAACTCAGTGTGGTGATATTGTGTCCCCCAATATATTGTGCACCTTAATAAACTTATCTGGGGTCAGAGAACAGAACAGACGCTAGAAAGACATAGAGGCCAGAAAATGGTGGCACACACACCTTTAATCCTAGCATTCTGGAGGCAGAGATCCATCCAGATCCCTGTGAGTTCAAAGCCACACTGGAAACAGCCAGGCATGGTGACTCATGCCTTTAATCCCAGGAAGTGACGGCAGGAAGCAGAAAGGTATATAAGGCGTGAGGACCAGGACTAGAGCCTGGTTAAGCTTTTGGCTTTTGAGTATCAGTTCAGCTGAGATCCATTCAGATGAGGACTCAGAGGCTTCCAGTCTGAGGAAATTATTTCAGCTGAGGAATTGGTGAGGCGAGGTTAGCTGTGGCCTGTTCTGTTTCTCTGATCTTTCAGCATTCACCCCAATACCTAGCTCCGGGTTTGTTTTTTTATTAATAAGACCTTTTAAGATTCATGCTACAGCTCGGGGTCTCTTGCATCCCAGGCAAGTGTCCTACCACTGATCTACATCCCCAGTCCTTCACAACTACCTTGCAAATGGCCACTCTGCCACTGCATCATGACCCTCACCAGAGCAGAGGCAAGCCGGTTCCTCAGGCTGGGTCCCCAGTGCAGGGCACATGGTGGATGCCCAAGATCTACTATCTGAGTGACAAAGTGAAAAATAGAATGACCACCCTGGTGTCCCCTTCCCAGCGCTCTTGATACTTAGAGGTATGCTGGAGGCATAGAAGCTTACCTGCACCCCACCAGGGGGGTCACCCTTCTCAAACTCTTGAATGGAAGCCTGCAGCAGGGATGAGGCCTGGCGAAGGTCAGTGACAAACGGGTCCAGCTTCTGCAAGGACAGGCGCCAGAGCGCAGAACTCAGCCTGGGTGACCAAGAGGAGATGTGTCTTTCCCCAGGAGGACGTGGGAAGGCACCAGGCAGGGCTTCTAGAGCTTACACTACATCAGAACCGTCGGGAGAGCTGGTGAAAGTGAAGCTCTGGATGACCCCCCACCCCGTGCCCCGGCCTTTCTCCCACCTCTAGCCCGCCCCACCCCCACAGTTGAGCCAGTATCTGGGACAGAGTCTAAGAACGTCTACGAAGTCTCCAAGCCACGGTGCTGCTGCTGCTGCTGCTGCTGCAGGTTTGGGGGGCTTCTAGTGGGGGAACCAGAGCCAGAGGCGAGAGAAGAGCGTCTGAGCTGTTCGCAGACCCTGGGGGTCTTCACAGAAGGGGCAGGATGGGGGTGAGAGGGTGGGCTGGAGAAGCACATTTGGCCCAGCTCAGCCATCAGCTAGCTGTGAGACCACAGGTAAGTTACTTAACGTCTCTGGGCTTCCCTTTACTTCTGAGAGGTGGAAACCCTGGTAGAACGCGTTTTGCAGCAGGGTAAGGGTTTGCTGGACTGATTTGTGCACAGGATTTGGAGTGCAGCCTGGAACATGCCAGACTCACGATCACCACAAAGTTTACTCTCTGGATCACCCAGTAAAATTTCACTTAAAGGGACAGTCTGAAAGTTGAAGTTCAAAGGTCACTGGGTAAATGGGAGGCCTCTGGAGAAGGAAGCAGGAGGCTGGGAGCAGGACTTGTCACTGGAATGTGTGTACACACTATCCCTCCACATCTTCAAGTGAGCAATTCTAAGATTACCGCGCCCGCCCCCCCGGCCCACTCCCCCCTCCCCGGACACCAAGACCAGGATGCCCAACCCTTTATGCTAAGTGTCCTGTAGAACCATGTGCACCTGCTGGGGACTAGAAACTGGCTGAAAATGACTCGGACAATGATGCCGGGTGGACACTGCCTCCAAAGCTGTACTGGTTGTTTCCAGACAAGCAAGTCCATAGGCAGTCCGGTGACATGCAACGCCTCCCTGCCTCCTTCCCTTCCCCTCCCCTCTCTCTCTCCTTCCCCCTCCCCTGTTATTATTATTATTATTATTTGTTTTTTCTGAGACAGGGTTTCTCTGTATAACCCTGGTTGTCCTGGATCTCACTCTGTAGACCAAGCTGACCTTGAACTCAAACAGATATGCCTGCCTCTGCCTCCTGAGTGCAGGGAGTACCCTGGCTGGAAGCTGTCATACTTTGTCGGGGGAGGCAGGGGGCTGCTGGTCACACCATAGTGGAAAAGGGAACCTTCAGGCCCTGGCTGAGAGGTCCTGACTGGGCAGCTGGGTGGAGGGGGCCTGGGTGGGCGGTCAGTGCCTTCAAAATAGACTATTCCATGTGCTGCGCCACCCCTTGTGGCCTCCTGAGTTAAACTGGGCACCGAATACCCGCTTGTGGGGTTGTGGGAGGAGAGGGTGGAGCTGGGGCAGTTCCCTTCCTTGCCCTAAAGGAGGCGATACATACTAACCCACCATGTGTGGCATATCCGTGGCTCCACGGAGCAGATGCCTGTCGATTTACTTTCAGTTGACAACAGCCAAAGCCTTTACCAACATGAACTCAGTCCTCATACAAATCCCACAGGAAGGCAGTTTCATTGCCCTCCCCATCCCCCACTTTGCTGATGAGAAAAGCAAGGCTCAGAGAAGAAGGTGGGTAACTTACCCAAAGTCACAGAGCAGAGCTGGACTGGAACCCAGAAGGCAGGCCCCAGAGCCTGAGGCCTTACTGGGGCTACTCTGTACCTTCATTGTAAATGTTTGTTGAATGACTGTCTGTTCTTGAACCCTGTTTTTGACGGGGTTGAGGGACCCATGGGGCAGGGCAGTGAAGGGAAGAGGAGAAGGAAGGGTTGGAGACTGGAGGCTATGAGGGTAGACACCTGGAAGAACTGCACCCACTCGCTGTGGTGGTAGGGGAAGGGGCCCTCCAGAGCCTCGGGCAGCTGGCTAGGGTCCACGTGGTTTCTGAGGGCCTTTAGCGAGGTCAGTACCTCCACCTGCAGATGAAAGGAGAGTCAGGAGGCATAGAGGACTCTCCCCAGAGATGATGTAGAAGGTCCTGATTAGATCTCTGTCCAGGCACCACATCTCTCACTGGGAAGGTCCAGAGTGGTGTTCTGAGCAGTGAGTCTTCTCTGGAAGCTTTGATCAATCATTTGAACCAGACCCTGATTATGGAATGGCACATACACAGCACACATACTGCTACTTCCAAGTCTGTGTTCAAGGCAGACATCATCAATCAACTGCAGAACTTATTTTTCCAGGGTTCGGCTCTTACTCAGTACTGCTGCCCAGACCTCTACTCACCTGGACAGGTAGTACAGGTAGTTGAAGGATGGATGCCTTCTCTCCCAGGAGGAGCACTTTGCTAATAGAGGCTGGAGCCAGGGCCTGTGAGGAGAGAACCTCTTCAGGGCTGCTTTGTCCCCTCTCTCCCTTGTCATCTCCCCCTCCTTCCTGAGGGACATGCATAGGCATGGTGTGGTCCCCTGGGTGGGGGCTTTGTGTGGCATGTTTAGAGTGAACCACTAGCATCAAGAGAGCAAACCCAACCTGTACTGCAAGCCTTCTGTGAGGTCTCAGTTTCCTTATCTATAAGACATGAGGTCAGATGGCCAGGCAGGCGTACATCAAGCCTTCACCTGTCCAGCTGTACATACTGACTAGTTAAGAGTCTTCTCTGTCAGGGGGTTTATGTGGCCCAAGGCTAAACCAATCAGAGCCCTGTATTCCCCCAGAACATGTCAGCCAATCAGCACTAATGATACCCCAAGAAACTTTGGCAGGAACCTCTCTCCTGTTTCCTACAGGAACCAAATGACTGTGTGACTTTCAAGCTGCTGGGAACCATACTGCCACCCAGTGGAAGTGAGGCCATGAAAAAAATGGTACTCTTGTAGGAGGGCCTGAACAGAAATAGAGACAATGGCACTCTCCGAGCCCTTGGATGGGTATGCATGCACAGCTAGATTCAACTCCTGGCTGTTAAAACATGGGCCAGCTCCTTTAAGACAGTGATCACTCTTATAAGGCCAGATCCTACAGACTAAAGAGACCAGGCCGCCCCTTCCTGCAGCTCTCTCGGGGACAGGGAGTGAAGAAGTAGTCAGTGACTAGATTTTCCTTTGTGGTGTCCCGCTCTTCCTTGCTCTCTGTCACATATAGTCTATTGAGATAAACCGTGTGATGTAAAAGTTCCGGCTACCCCCACAAACTTATAAAGGTCTGATGTTTCTCTTGTTTCTGGGGTTGCTAGAGGGATTCGCTCTGGGGGCTTTTCTGAGGAGACTCCTGCACCCATCCTAGCCTTCTCATGGTGGTTGGTTCTATCTCTCTCTCTTTCACACACTCTCTCTAATCCTCATTCTCTCTCTCTCTCTCTCTCTCTCTCTCTCTCTCTCTCTCTCTCTCTCTCTCTTGTTTTTGTTTTGTTTGTTTGTTTTTTTGTTTTTTGAGACAGGGTTTCTCTGTGTAGCCCTGGCTGTCTTGGAACTCACTTGGTAGACCAGGCTGGCCTCGAACTCACAGAGAACCTCCTGCCTCTGCCTCCCGAGTGCTGGGATTAAAGGCGCCACCTGACTCATCCACTCTTAATGAAGCTCTTCTCTGGGTTTTAAAGGGAAGCCCCTCTTCTCTTGAAGGCCCCTGCCGTATCTGTCTCTCCCATCATGCCCTGCACCCCTCTAGCCTAACACAATCCGTATTCTGAAGGGAGCCATTCATCAGCTTCTTCAGCACTCACCGCTGCTGCTGCTGCTTTTAAATCGATTTATTACACTGAGCCAGCCAACGCCCTTTGTCTAGGACCTGCTTGCAGGGTTTCCTTAGTTGCCACCAGAAGTCTCTGCCCAGGTTTTACGATGCCAACCTTAAGTCCACCAGGCTCTGGGCAGGCCACAGTCCCCTGGAGACTCCCAAGACCAGCTAGACTAAGGCTTCCTACCTGGCACTCACCTGTGTGCTCTGCAGGGCGCTGACCAGAGCAGGACTCGGGGGCCCTTTCCTGGCATCAATCACCACCAGCAGCCCCTTGGCTTTATCCTCCAGCCTGTGGGTAGAAGACAGAAATCAGGTTCTGTCAGGCAGCCTGGGGCTCAGGAGAACACGGTGGGAAGGTGAGGGAAGCGGGTTGGCAGGAGTCTTCGCTCCGCAAGACCAACGCCTCCTCCAGGAAGCACCCATGATTCCTCCTGTAGAACCCACAGCCTTCCATTCACAGCTCAGGCCCCAGGTGATTCATCGCTGTGGTCACTGTGTGACTGCGTCCACCACCCTTTGTGGTCAGGGATGTGGCTCAGAGGTTGTGTGTGAGCCTCCCTGGGTTCCGTTCCCAGAATTCCAAGCAAAAATAAATGAGATGAAACAGCCCCGTGCCTATTTCTTTGTGTAGGCGGGACCCCCAGTTTGTTCGGGATTTACCAGCCCCCACCTGTGGTTTTCTGATCTGTAGAGACCACACTAGTCACCCAACTTCCCTGGCCAATGACTGGGCTAGGAGGGGTCATGTGACCTATCTCTTCCCAATGAGATGAGAAACGCTAACTGAATGGCTTCGGAAAAATCTGTTTTCTGCTTTAAGGAGTTCTTCGAAGGACCAAGGGAGGTGTTGGGAAGAGGGGGACGAGCAGGCCAAAGGAGACTGAGAGAGGTTAACTAATCAAGGGACACAGAGCCGTCAGGAAATCCCCTACTTTGTATAATTACTATAACTCATACAGTGTTGCAGGGAAATGAAGAATTAATTCCCGCCTCAAGGCAACCAGAGGCTGTTCTCAACTTGAACTGAAGTCACTCGCATCCGGAACAGCCCCCTGCTCTTATCACCTGAGTGGGCAGGATGGATGGTGGCTGCTTCCCAGGTCCCAGGCTGGCCTAATTACAGACCTAGGCCAAATGGGAGTCTTCCCTCATCCCCACCCCCCACTCCGGGCCCCAACCCAGGGCCCTCAGACCTTGAGCAGCGGATACAGGTGGGGGGCTGGTGGGTGGGGCCCAGGGGGGCTGGTGGGCAGTAAGTGCCCTCAGCCAGTCTGCTGGTCAAGGGGGTCTGGAAGACTCCCCCAGCTGTCTTCAAACCTTACATCACCAGGTCACAAGCACAGCCCACATGGCCCCACGTTGTTTTGTGTCCCTGTCACTTGACAAGGTTCTGTGAGAACAGATGGGCTCAGCTGTGTCGCATGCCCACTGCCTGCCCAGAGCAAGAGGGGTATGAACGCTTTCTATGACTACCCCAGGCGGGGAAATTGACACAGAGCAGCCAGGCAGTAGACTGTGAGAGAAATTGACATTGTATATTCCCCTCATTCCAGGTGCTTGTGACCCTACCTGGGCTCCCTGGTCATTTGAGGGGGCAGGGTGAGTCACAGAGTAGGCAAATTACTGCCACAAGGTCACAGATCAAAGTGGGTGGGGAGATATTCCAGGGTTCTATCTACCACTGGGCCACTTCTCAGAGACACAGGCGGCCATTTTCCAGAAAATCTGGTGTCTGGTGGCCTGCAGGGGACAGGGGCCTCTGGGGAGGGGTGGCAAAGAAGATTCCAAGGAACTTCATGGCTCCCTAACCTCCCCCAGATGCTGCACCTCCAGTTGGCTGGGGTTCTGTACCTACAGGGCAGGGAAATGCCACCTCTGCATGTTCTCATGGGAGCCTGGGTCTCAGAAGCCAGATGGGCTTCTCCCCAACCATGAAGTCTGAACTGTGGGCTGAGGGGCTAGGAGTGGGAGAGACTGGGGGCTGGAGTCTGCCTGGACCGTGTACACCTGGGCTTGTTCTCGTGAGTTTATGTGTGTGCTTGTGTGCAGGTACTTACACAGAGGAGTGCCGAGGCCGGAGGACAACCTTGGGTACCATCCTCAGGAGCGCTCTATCTTTTTTGTTGAAACAGGGTCTCTCATTGGCTGGAATATGTTAGTTAGGCAAGGCTAGGCTGGCCTTCTGTATCTTCAAACATGCCCCACCATACACGCATGCCCTTTTGTATGTGGGTTCTGGAGTTAGAGCTCGGGTAACCTTGCTTACAAGGCAAACACTTTGCTGACAGAGCTATGGTCCCAAACCCTGGTTCTTTAATTCTCTCATTCATTCACTCACTCATTTGTTTGCCCTGTCTTTTATTTACTCAACGACGTTTATATCTAAGATGCCACCTCCCCAGAGAAACCTTCCCCGGCTTCCCGGCTGAAATCAACCCTCTCATCTTCTCTGCACCACAACAATGCTTCTCAAAGATTAGCCTCCGCTCCAGCCTCTGACATATCAGTGTCACCAGGAACCTGACTAGAAATGCAGATTCTCAGGCCTGCGGAGTGTGGAGCGCTGGGGATGAGCCGAGTGAACTGCTTCAACAGCTCATCCAGTCATTCTCCGACTCCAGCGCACCACCAGGTCACAGCTGTGAGTTCGCACTGCACACCTTCCCTCTCCCACCAGCCTGGGAGGGCCCCGCTGAAGGGACAGAGCCCATTGGCCACCCAACTCCTAGCCCGTGGCTGGCCGTGTGTACACACATGGACGGAAGGACCTGCAGCCTCCCCACTACACACTTGGCTAAGGGGTAAAGTATGACAGTGTCCCCTCACCTAGGAACACCGCATAAGTAGGACAGCAACTCCGTGACCTCCAAGGCAGTACACCAGGGTGCCTCCCAGGCCTCCTGCGTGGTCGACACCAGAAGCAGAGGCCGCCCCAGCCGGTCTCTACCACCTGAAGGAGAGAAGACACATGAGTAATGGCATTTCTGGGGGACCTCCATGGGAGCCTCCTCTTGGCTCTCCAGGCCTTTTCCTGCACTGGTCTTTCTGCCTGGAATGTCCTTTCTTCTCTTCCTTCTGTGACCTCCAAACTCCTCTTCATCCTCCAAAGGCCCAGCTTCAATGCCACTTCCTGAGAAAAGTCTCCCTGAGTTCTTCTTCAGCACAGAGTCAGTTCACTGGCCTTGGGACTGTCTCTGGGTAGGGCCCGCACCCCACTACAGTGTATGGACCCCAGGAAGCAAAGCTAGTGCAATGAGCTCTGTGGTCACAGAGACTAGTTCACATCCTGACGTGCTGTGTGTCCCTGGGTAAGTCTGTGTGTTTCTGAGCTTTAATAATTTCATCTATCTGACAAGGCAAATTCAGTTCTGGGCAGATGAGGTTTCTTTGGGGATTAACTGAGTTAGTTCCTGAGAGTGCTCAGCACTCAGCCAGGACCAGTGAATGCATCTGTGGTGACTGGGCACCATCCCTGTCACATCTCACACAGACCACAGCAGGCTGATCCTGTGATTTCTTCTCCAGTTGTGTATTGCGGACAGGCCATTTCCTCTTCTAGGGGAATGGGGGCTGTATGTCTCACTATCCCTGGGGACTCACAGCCCAGGAAGTCAGCCTAGCTGGCAGGGCCTTCCTTCACCCAGCTCTGCCTGTCTGGTGCGAACCCACCCTCCTGTCTCCAGCTCTTGAGATCCTCTCTGGTCCTTGGTCTGGCCAATGCTCCACTTCCACATTCCCCGGCCCGGGGCCCTTCAGGAAGTTGTCCCGACAACTCCACTGCCTCCTGGGACTGGCTCAGGACAGCATCAGAGCGTGGAGGTTAGAACAATGCAGTCCAACCCCTGTAAGTCTGGGAGCTTGCAGAATGCAGGTGGACCCAGTGGCCCAGCTTGCCTCCTCTCCCTGGCTCCCAAGCAGTACAGATGGAGTCAGTCCCTGGGCCCAAGTTCGAGTAGCCAAAGGGTCAGATGCTGGGTCCCCTGGGACACGGCAACCGTGTGGCCAGAGCTTGGCTCTGCCTGCCCACCAAATGCTGCCTGGATCAGGAACAGGGCAACAGGCAGCACCCCACACAAGAAGCATCATTGTCCAATCTGATTTGTTTTTCACTGGACCAAAGAGATCCCTGTGCCCCAACACTGCCCTTGCCTGGTGGGTGGTACCAGAAATACCATCTCTAGCCCCAGAAAACCCTTCTGCTATGGGCATGCCGGGTGACCAATGTCACGTGGAAATAGGAATGGCCGGGGCAGGAGGAGTACGGGAGGCTCCTATAGCCTCTGAAAAATTCAAAACAGCTTCAGCAGATGCCTGGGACACCAGCAGATGGCTCCTCTGGAATCTGCAGGGAGATGGAGACAGGGAAAGGTGGACGTCCAGGAGTAGCAAGGTGGCAGGACAGTTAGTCCCCAAAGGCACAGGGGTCCTTCGTGCTCCTGACCTTTACATGTGCTGTTCCCGGTTTCTGAAGCGCTCTTCCCAACATTTACATGGCTAGCTCCTAAGCTTTCCTGGCCTCTCCTGCTAGAAGCCTGGGCCAGGAGCACTATTTATTTTCCCAGTTCCTAGACATTTTCTTTATGTTGGATTGCAATGGCCTGTTGTAGTTTCTCTAACACTAGAATAAAACGTGTGTGGGTGCTGGGGCCACATAGACTCGTTTCCTAACAAATCCACAGTGCTGAGTCTAGGGCTCGGGGAAACAATGATTAAACAGCTACAAATCGGGAATAAAACACCCGAAGCTTGGAAGCTGTCAATACCTGGTCCAAAGCCCCTTAGTGGGCGGAGTACTTGCTTGTTCACCAGAGGCCGGAAGAACTATTACTAGAGGCTCATAGATGCTTCCTTCCCTGAAGAATTGCCCTTAGCTATATTAGCTTATTAGCTCGCCCTGCATCCCATTCCAGGATCAGCCTGTGGTTAATGATTGATATACCCAGAGTCAGCCTGCAGCTAATGTCTAACAGACCCAGAAGTTAAATACTGACCCTGCACCTTAGCCAGCCAGCTGGTATGACCCACATCTTGGAGCCTCCCTGGGTCTGTCATCACCTTGCTCGTCCCTTCCTCTGCCTGCCTTGTTTTGCTCGGTCCCATTCTCATGGGGGCCATTCCAAGAACCTTTGTCTCAAGTTCAGTTTCTAGGGAGCCGGGAACACACCTTGGCTTCCTCATGGAAGTCTGGATAAATGGATGGATAGATGGTTGGGTGGATGGACAGGTGGACAGATGGATTGATGGATACCTAGAAATGGCTTGCCTCTAATCCAAGCCTTTTGTTGGAAACTTTGCAGCCTCCCAGACCTTACCCCTCTTCACCCCCCAGCATCTGAGAATGCTCTGCTCCCTCCATTCCCCCTGAATCCCAGAACCTGGCAGGCAGGCTATCCTGGAGTGGAGAAGCTTGATTCCCAGAGTCTCAATCCTGGGCTCAGGCCTGGAACACTCCTCCAGGCTAAGTCTTCCTCCTGGGGGACCTGCAGAATCTTTCCGGAAGCCAGGCAGCTCCCCAGACAGTGGGGCTGAGCCAGATGTTCTGGGGAGAGCTGTCCCATCTGGGGAAGAACAAAGCAGGGCTGTCATACAGGAGACAGACTTTCCGAGGGACAGTGTTTTGCCTTCCACCCAAATGATAATACGGCTTATAGCATGATCTACTCTCTGCCAGTGATGCCAAGTCCCTTCCTTCTGGTATGTCTTTTAACCATCAGAGCAACTCTGTGTTGTAAAAGAGCCTCCCCACCTCCAAGCAGAGAAGGAGGTTTGAACTCAGAGAGGTTAAGTGTCTGACCAAGGTCACACAGCACGAGGTAAAACTGGAATGTGAACTCAAACAGACCTAATGAATAGCCTTGCTCAGTTCTATACTCCTGAGACTGGGACAGCCTTGTGACCCCTGTCTCTCACAGCCTCCTGCACCAGGGAAGCCTGGTTCTTGCCCTGATGAGTGTGTGCTCTTACCTTTCCCTGGGGCCTTGGCTCCACAAGACTGAAGAGAGTTGAGGGGGCTCAGGGCCTTCCCAACATGCTGGAGTAGGGCCTTCTCGGGGGGCATCAGGGGTGCCCTCTGTCCTTTCAAGAAGGAGAACTGGAGCCCAGGAGCCGGGGACCCACAGATGGAGATGTTCCTACTGAGAAAGGCCTCGGGCTTGGAAGGCCTGCCATATCCTGGTGTGGTCTCCTCTGTCTTTGTCTCGGAGGTTAGGGCTACAGGGGCAGCTGAGGACAAGAGAGGAGAGGGTGTTTGTCTTGGCCCAGGCCTGAGCTGGACCATGGCTGCTGGCATTCCCAAAGGCGTTTGCATCTTAGAGGCTGCTGGCTCTTCTTCAGTATCTTCCACCAGGCCAGAGGTACAGTACAGCGGCTTCTCCAGGACACCAACGTGGGGCTGCTGGGGCTGTCTCTCTGCAATGTGGTCAGATGCTTTGTGCCTGGCCTTTCTTCTTGAGCCTCCACTACAGGGCTTCTCTCCAGAGTCTGTTGGCTTCACACATGCCGGTCTTCCGACGGGAAGTCCCTCATCTGGCCCTGGGAGAGGTAGGATCCTTCCAAGCAGAGGTGCTCCCTTAGTTCCGGATGTCTCCTCCTGTGATCCTTGAGTGTTCGCACCGAGTGTAACTACCTCCCTGTCTGGAGACCCCCTTCTACACTCTTGGAGAAAGCCCAGGAGAGCCACATAGTCCCCCTCCAGGCCCTGGTTGGTCTCACTGTCCATCCTGAAGGCCATCTGCCCTGACCTTGCTGGCTCAACCTTGATGAGCCCAGGATATTTGTCTCTAGACAACTTCCCTTTATCCTTAGCCCAACTCTGGGCCACAGACCCCACGCTGCCCAAGGAGCTGGCCTGGCTTGGCTCCTGGGGACTGCTCAGATGGAGCACCTCTAGAGGACAAGTGTCCCCATCTGAGGAAGGGATGTTCACTACTGGGGGTCTGTCATCTATAAACTCTGGGCTGGTTATCCTGGTCCAAGGCACAGGCGTGATCCCATTTTCTGAAGCCACAAGACAGTTGTGTAAGGGGCTTCCCTCAAAGTCACTGTTGATGGCTTCCAGCCATTCTGGGGTGAAAATCAGAGAATAGGAAGTCTCAGGAATAGGCTTCTTGTCCACCTTGCGGAGGTCTGAGGAGAGACACTTGAGTGTCATGTGGACAGACTGCTCCTCCCAGGACTCCACTTGAAGGTAGAAGTCGCCCTGACGCAACAGGAGCGGGTTGAGTGGAGCCAGGTGGACCACGACCTCGTCCCGCAGACACAGCGGCCAGCCCTCATGCAGGAAGAGGCAGTGGGTGTAAAGGGCCTGCAGAGAGACGGGGGGCATCAGAGAGACAGGCTCCACAGCACCTGGGGTTTGGTCAACTTCCTTCCCTCTCCCACATGGGACCTTGAACAACCAGGGAATAGGCAAAGACAAGAGAGATGCCCAGAACCAGGCACTGAAGAGGCCTTTGCTGTCAGGGTACATGGGGTCACTTGCTCCTACCTACCCTTGGCATTGGCCTTGAAGATGTTTGCTAGCCTCCTGGGCTGATGGGAAGGCTGGTGGTCCAGGTACATTAGTTAATCGGCAAGTACTTTCCACGGCAACCCTACTTGGCTCATGACCCTCTCCTCCCCATCTACCCATAACTTCTCCCAACCCAGCTGGAGCCTTAGCAACCCTTCCCTTTAAAGCCAGGAAGTCATGGATCGGATGTCTAAGTGGGTTGTCATTCTGAGCTGCTCTGAGATCTGATTTCTTTTTCTTTCTTTCTTTTTTTCTTTCTTTCTTTCTTTCCTTCTTTCTTCCTTCCTTTCTTTCTTTCTTTCTTTCTTTCTTTCTTTCTTTCTTTCTTTTTTTTTCGAGACAGGGTTTCTCTGTGTAGTTTTGATGCTTGTCCTGGATCTCGCTCTTGTAGACCAGGCTGGCCTCAAACTCATGGAGATCCACCTGGCTCTGCCTCCCGAGTGCTGGGATTAAAGGCGTGCGCCGCTGCCGCCGCCGCTGCCACCACCACCCAGTGAGATCTGATTTCTTTATCTGCAAATTGGAGTTAAGTAAAGCACAGCAGTATTCTGGGCTGGTGTGAGATAGATTGAGTATGGATGCAGAGAAGTCAACGTGATGCCTGGGGAGTGTCCAGAGTACGTGAATTCACTCCCTTTCGAAAATACCTGCCCTTTGAAAGAGTTTGTGTGGATGTGTGTGCATATCGGGGAGCGTCCATATGGAGGTCAGAAAATAACTTAGTGGCCTGGGTTCTCTCCTTTCCTTTACGTGGGTTCCAGGCATTGAACTGGAGTCACCAGGCTTGTGTGGCAAGAACCTTTAACAACTGAGTCATCGCCCCAGCCCCAAGCTGAACAGTTAAAATAACAGGAGCAGTTTTGAATGGGAGGTCAGGAGACTTGACCCTGCCACTGTCTTGGCAGACGAACTTGAAAAGGCCACCATCATTTTACATTCTGACACTGTAGTGTCTCTCTCTTCCCCACGGCAGTTGGGGTGGGGACGCCGAGTCCCAAAGAGGGAACATGGATCCCCCATGTTCCCAGTGATGGAGTCTTGATTTGAAACAGAGAACCTGACCTCAAAGGACCTGCTGTGAATCCCTCTTTGCTCCTGTCCATTCTGAGGTGACATGAATTTATCCATGACAGCCAAATCAAATGTGCCTGTATTTAAAAATAAAGGCTGTGAATTTGCCATGGAGAAAGGAGGGAACAGGGCAAGTGGTTTTGAACTTTTTTTTTTTTCCTTTTCTTTTAAGACAGGGTCTCATGTAGCCCAGGCCGGCTTAAATCTCACCATGTAGCTGAGGATGACCTTGAACATCTGATCATCCTGCTTCTACCTGCTGAGGGCTGGTATCACAGGCAAGCATCATCATGCCATTTATGTGAATGGATCCAAACCCAGAGTTTTGTGTATGTCAAGCAAGCATTCTACCAACTGGGCTACATTTCCAGCCCTGCAAATGTGTTTTGAATAGCCAAAAAGTGACAGTTGTGTGGCTTGTCAGGGAGAGGATAAAAGAGGTGGGGAGGAGATCTTCATGAAACAAGGTCAGGGGGTCATGGCCGGGCGACCAGCAAAGACTTCTGGGAGACACTGCATTCTATTCCTGTTCAGGAGCATTTGCCATGGGGGTTTTCCACCAGGTGCTGTGGGTCCCAAGCTTGCCTGTGTGGCTCTTGATGCTGGGTGGCAGTGGGCTCAGGGTAACTAACAATAGCTCAAGGACACTGGCAAGTCTCTGAGGGGGGAGGGCAGAGGAATCAGAACTTTGATTTCTTGGTGATCTCACCACTATTTTCCTAAAACAACAGTCTCCTTCGAGAGCGTGCAGGGGTAGGGTGGGGTGGGGAGTGTCCATCTTAATACCCCATTCCTCTGGTCAACAGTGATTGGTCCAGTCATGGACACATGACCACAGTCTGGCCAATCAAGATCCTTCCTGAGAGCTGCTGTGGAGGCTGGCTAACTGGGAGAGGCCAAGGCAGGAAGCCCGATGTATCTTCGAGTGGGTTGACTGGGGTAAACTCTCGACTTGAGTGGGAAGTAAGTCGTTTTCTGCTATGGCCTAAAACACTGTCTCTCCACCTCGACCCAGGAGTCACCTCCCTGAAATCTCAGGAGGTTTCCAGGGATAAAAGTGGGAGTGCCTTTAGGAGAGCTCTGGAACATTCTCTGTTGCCTCTGTGGAACCAGGGCCAGGGCCAGATGGTATCACTTACGGTTCCTAGCACCCAGGCAGGTCCCCCAGGGTCAGGGGAGGTTCTTGGACATCTGGATTTCCTCCCAGGTGGTGGAATGTAAATGTCGTTGGCCCCTAGTGTCCGAGGGCCATGAGTCAAGTAACCCCCTTTCTCTACTGGCAGGTGGCGGTTCCCTTTGGATGAGCAGTGGTTCTTGGGAACCCTCTTCCCCTCAGCCACCACATTTCTTGTTGGGGAGACACACCGTGCCCACCTCCCTCCCTCCTCAATTCCAGCCCTCTGGCCTTTCTGGGAGAGCTTGTTATGGCCGCCACACGGTGTCCCCAACTTACGCAGGCTGCTTCTCGCACTTGCTCACACAGGCGCTTGGCAGGGATGAGGAAATCCAGGAGGAAGCTCAGTCCATCTCCCCGGAAGTCAGAGTCCAGCAGCCTGAACACTTGACCCAGGACAGTAGGGGCAGTGGCTTCAAAAGGTGGGTAGAGCCCTGCCAGGGCGTGCTGGATGGCCATGTCAAGGGCTGAAGAGTCCTGCTGAGGACAACAGGGAGGGAGAACAGTTACAGTTACAGAGGGAGAACAGAGCAGGAACAGTGACCACTCCTGTGACCTTCAGGACCCCTGTGCGGGAGACCTTGCTGATTCCAATGGTCAGGGCCGGTCTCTCACTTCACTTCAGCCTAACTCAGGAACTTCTCAAGCCTGTACCTCCCTGCCTCTGCCCAGTGATAGCCCCACAGCCCAGCCAGGCTCCATGGTGGCATGCCTTCCGAAGCTGCCTTCCTGATGCCCTGCCCCCATCATCCCTCAGGCATGTCCCATTCAATGACTTCTCCCTCTCCAGCTCACCCACCTATGACTCCTCCCCTGCCTAGCTCTGCCACCAATTTCATGCAATGGCTTCTCTGCCTCAGCAGCCTTTAGTCTTCGGAACTCCAGACATCTTCCATCAGGACCCTAGAGCAGCCTTACTGAGATGTCACACCCCTGCCCAACTTCCCTCAAGAGCTCCCATTGCCTCAGGAGGCACCAGCAGCCTAGGTCTAACTGCTGGGCTTAATGCCAACCTCCCTCAGCCCCGCTGCTGCTCTGTCTCTCCCATGGCAAGGTGAATCTCACCTCCAACCTTTGCCAGTGTTGCCCTTTCCTCCCGAACACCTGCCTGCCTCGTTCTCTCCCACCTCACCTGGCAGCTCCTTTCTTTAACCTCACGTCTCAGGCCAGCCCTTGCCTGTTCTGGAAGGTACTCTATGACTTCATACCTGCCTCCATCCTGTGAGGTCAGATGTCCCCTCCTCTGGCACCTTATCAGAGAAGTTCCCACACTGACTTCTGTCCCCCAAAGGGCAAGTGGGGCAGGAAGGACAGCCCCCAAAGGTGCCCACATCCAAATCTCCACGGTCTACAAATACAGGCAAAGAGGAATGGAAGGCAATAAAGCGGGGACTCTGGGGCAGGGGAGAAGGCATGGCTTGTACTCCACCGGATTCCAAAGCCAGGGGTGTGAGACAGAGACCGCGGTCTTTCCCATCTGTAGTCTACCCAGAGCAGGCCACCCCCTATGTTAGCAGAATAAGTGAATGAGTGAAAGAATTCACACCTACAGATGCACTCTGAAGGAGAGTGGGTCAGATGGCATGCTGCTGAGCTGTGGGAATGGGAAGGTCACTCCCTAGAGCTGGTGGAGGAATCCCTGGTGTGGTAGAGCAGGAAGGGGTTTACTGCTGGCCTTGCTAGTGCCTCCAGCCTCACCCACCAGCCAACCCCTGTTCCCACTGCCATAGTCTGAATGAGAGTGGTCCCACAGGCTCATATATTGGAACACTTGGTCCCCAGTTGGTGGAACTGTTTGGGAAGGATTAGGAGTTGTGGTCTTGTTGGAGGAAGTGTGTCAATGGGGATGGAATTTGAGGTTTCCACAGCTAAAGCCATTCCCAGTTAGGACTCCCTGTCTTGTATTTGTAGATAAGATGCAAACTCTCAGCTGCTGGCCCAGCACCGAGCTTTCCTGCCTAATGCCTTGCTCCCCGCCATATCGACTCTAATCTCTGGAAATGTAAGTCTCAAATAAACCCTTTCTTCTATAAGCTGCCTTCATCATGGTGTTTTTACAGCAATAGAAAAGTGGTTAAGACACTCACCAACCTGGGGACAGTGAGAGAAAGAGATCACAAATGCCATTCAATACAGCCTGCTGGGCCTGCATCCCTTCATACCACGTGCCCCACTCCACCCTGTCCATGCTGGGCACCAGCACACCTGGCTTCTGCCTCCTTTTGTGGCCTTGACTAGGGTCTTACTCTCTCTGGGCCTCATCGCTAGCTGTGCTGTTTGCTTCGTTTTTGGAAACGTAATTACTCATGATATTCAGCATCTGTACTATGAAAACTGTTGTGTTTGTTTGCTTGTTTTCACATACACCCATTCTGCAGAAAGGCACTGTCTTAGTTTGGGTTTCTATTGCTGTGAAGAGACACCATGACCACGGCAACTCTTATAAAGGAAAACATTTAACTGTTCAGAGGTTTTAGTCTATCGTCATCATGGTGGGACATAGTGGTAATGTAGGCAGACATGATGCTGGAGTAGTAGCTGAGAGTTCTACATCTTGGTCCACAAGCAAGAGGGAGAGACTGCCACACTGGGTGTGGCTTAAGCATATATAAGACCTCAAAGCCCACCTCTATAGTGACACTTCCTCCAACCAGGCCGTACCTACTCCAACAAGGCCACACCTCCTAATAGTGCCACTTCCTATGGACCAAACATTTCAAACACATGAGTCTCTGGGGGCCATACTTATTCAAACCACCACAGGTACATAATTGTGTTCCTATCTCAAAACGGGGGGGGGGACCCTACACTCACAGTCTCTTACTCAGTGTCACATACAATGATGCTACTGCTAAGCCTGGGCACTCTATCTTGCTGGTAAAGAGTCAAAGCCAACCTTGCCCAGGGATTTAGGGAGAAAGAGAAAGACAGTGTGGGAATCCAACCCAGACCCAAGGCAGTGAAGACAGCTGGCTTCCCCCACCTCTGGCTGCCTGTTTAGTGTGGGATCTATTCCTTTCAGGGTGGTCTGTCCTGGATTCTAGTGGTGCCTAAAGAAACCACAAGAAGGAAGTCAAGGCTTGCCCGCTGAGCCAACCTTGGCTTACACAGGGTGCCTCCACTTGCCACACATTTTAGCCACCTTCAGAAGTGGTTGGACAGTGGAAAATTTTGACAGTGGGCTGGCTGCACTCGGTGGATCACTCGCTATCAGAGGCTTGACTCCTGGAACTCGGAACTGTCCAAGAATTCAGGAAGAACGTGGTGGAAAGGCCCCAGAGGCTGCAAGGAGGAAGGCTGGCCCCTTGCCATCACAAATGAACTGAGCAGCCCAGCCCTGGACCACAGGAGTCCAAGGTCTGCTGCCAGACTCTAAATGATGGCCGTGAAACTTGATAGACGCGTTTCCATTCCTTCCCAGTAAGGCAGCCCAGCCAGCAGCCCATGGCTCCTCACAGGGCCAGGCGTAGGTGGGTGCTTAAAAGGAAGGAGGCAGGACCAGCTCCCTTTGCAACAAGGCCAGAGAAAGAGTCCAGTACACCAGCCAGGGATGGACATATGAGAAGGAGCCCTAATTTTCTTTTTGAAGAGCTGGGCTGGAATCCACAGTTTGTGTGTGTGTGTGTGTGTGTGTGTGTGTGTGTGTGTGTGTGTGTGTGTGTGTGTCGAGAGTTACAACTGCAGCCCCTGACCTTCACCACTGAGCTGTGCCTCCAGCCCTTGGTCTTTTGAGATAGGTTCTCACCAGAAGCTAAGGCTAACCTCAAACTCATTATGTAGCCCAGGCTGGCCTCCACTTCTTACCTCTGCCTCTTAAGTGCAGAGATTCCAGGTAGGCACCACTGGTCTGGGCTGTACACATCTATCTGAGCATCTTTACAGTGAGCCACTGGCATCCTAAATGGGAATTCTATCAAGAAAAATCAGCAAACACAAAGTACACAGATGAATATATTCTTACCTATGTTCTGATCCTTTGAAACCATTAACCAGCTCAATATACAAGAGTTCTGTCACTCCCACAATGAGGCTGTCTCCTAGCCAACTGTTCCCCTTCTAAAACTAAGCTTCTATTGCAAATGTTTTTAAAGAAAATTTTCCGTACTGTATAGTCCACAGAATGAGTAGGTCCAGACAGAGCCCAAGAGGGCATTAAGAAAAGTTGCCCTGAGGGCAGTGAGGGGCAGGGGCCTCACGAGGCGGCTTTTTAATTTTCTTCTGAGCTTGCCACATTTTCCAAACATTCTGGAAACAGTGAGTGTAGCTTTTATAACCAGGGGGAAAACATAAAAGTGTGATCGTGTGCTTTTAAGGCTGGCTCCTTTTTTAAATGGTCTCGCCAGATGTTGTTAGCTGGGCCTTCTGAGATGTGGGCTGGACTGCCTTAAAGGTCCAGATCTTTCCACTGACTCCACAGGGCCAAGATTCTAGTCTCATTTGGCGGGGCTGCTTCCTCCCCCTCCCCCTCTTCCCCCTCCTCCTCCCCTTCCTCCTCCTCCCCCTCCTCTTCCTCCTCCCTCTCCTTCTCTTTCCTCCTCCTCCCCCTCCTCCTCCTGGGCAGGGAGAGGAGTAGGAAGAAGGCTGGTGTGGGCAGGGTCCTAGAGCTGCCTCAGCTTCCCTCTGCTCTGTGGGAGGGCTGAGCTGCAGCTTAGGGGTGGAGAGCACTTGCCTACTGTGGACAGGCCTGGGTTCCATCCCCCACCACAAATGGAGAAGAAGGAAAAAGCGAAGAAAGGAGAGACACTGACTACTACGCCATGCCAGGTGACTTTGGCCACAGTTTCTCCACCTGTAAAAGGGAGGCGCCCGAGTGCTGGGACCTCCTCAGGAATTTTCTTCATGCAGTTGACTACGGTTAAGGCAGAAATTCACAATTGCTTAAAGTGCACAGGACAAGTATGGTGTTCTCGGCCACAAATGGACGTCTACATCACACCTTCTCCCCCAAGGCTCGGACCATCATGGGAGATGAGGCAGAAAGATTTTAAGAGCCAGAGGTCCGAGCTGACCTTTAGAGTCTTAGCCTAGACAAGTTCCAGAGGCGCATCCTCAGAACCGCTGGGGAGGACAGTGTTTCCTGGACACGACAGGACCACTGCACTCATGAATGCGCAGCAGCCATGGCTGCCTGCATGAGAACTACACAAGATCAAGCCAATCAACATTCCGGCATGGAGGGGGGAGAGGCCCATGAGCCTTCCCTCCCCCTGCTGAGGGGGAGCTGTTGACAGCTGATGGCTTCTGCAGGAGCTCGAGTCCATTTTCTTTGAGGAGGCAGCCCCTGGTAGAGGGACCAATATCCAGTGAACGGCCCCACACCCGTGAGTATATGAGCAGCACAAATGGGACTCCATGAGTTATAAATAAACAAAAACAAAAACAAAACAGACCACAGAGTTGGGAGAGAATGGGAAGTGGAGGGTGGGTCTGGGGAGAGCTGGGGGAAAAGTGAAGGCGAATATATATGATCAAAATACATT